ACACACTGATGGGGTCCAACACCCACATTTACCATCTTCTATCAGGCTATAGGCTATCCTCACTGAGGACACACGCCACCCCTCCTGTTAAAGGTATTCAGCAAGGAATTCAAGATTTATTGGGACACAGCAAGAAGCAAAAGGGAGAATGACTACCTTAATGGTCAATGCACACAGATGAGAAGGGAGACCCCTAGGATACAACTCCTGCAGTTGCTGGAACAGTCCCTTGGAGTATGGATCATAAACTAGGACTCCTCCTTCCCAGGTGAATGATATAACTACTAGGCTTCAGAGTCAGCATCCCATTTGTGGTCCCTTCTCTGCAAATGATTACATTCCCCATATACAGGATTCTAGATTCTATTTAAGGTTCCAGGTGCCTAACTGTAAGGTGCCGCTATGCCTAATTTTTAAGTATCCAAGTCCCTTGCTGGAGTTGAGCCTCAGTCACAGATTTATTTTATGATGTATTTCATGCTGATTTAAAATGTTTCTGCAGCATTCACCTTATAACTAAATAAACCGTCTTGGAAAAGAGGGGAGAGAAATACATTGAAATGGACAGAACTGCCCTACTGGATCATATCTGAAAGCCATCTAATCCTAAATCTTTTATCTGACAGTGACTGGAATCACAATGCTTCTTCAAACAAAGGTGAAGGAACACCATAATAGTTAAATCTGAGTTACTTTGTTAATCCCTGTGAATCACATTCTGATATCTAGTTGGTAGTGTAACATTTAATACATCTTGCAAATTTTTTGTTACTATTTAACATAAGTCTGGATACTATTGATACCCACATAAATGCTTAAACCTTTTACATCTTGTCAGGGTCTTATCTTTCTTTTTACATCCAGGCATTACAGTTACATGTTGGTTCTCAAAAAACACTTCAAATACCAGATGTTCATTATCAATTTAGGATTTTTTTTCCAACCTAATCAATATGTATTATTGTTGTTTTGATGAACTATTTTTACTCCTGCACTTATAAAACCAAACAAGCATAAATTAATGGAAAGCATTGTCTTGAGCACAAAGAAGCAACAAACAAGGTGCATCTACATGTAAAATTAATTTGAAGCAATAAACTCCGAAGCATGAGCCAGAGCAAAAACCACCCTCAGGATGAGAGTCTACCTGTGTGCCTGGGACAGCACGAGGGTGCTCAAAGTGTGAAGCCATGTTGCTACGTGGCAAGCAGGATCTGGCCCACTGCAGGCTCGGCTGACTGGGTGCAATTTATGATTGTGGTCAGTGTCTATATACGTTTAATTGCAGATATTTACTTTGCTGTAAGATAGCACTGCCCCAGACGGTATTATCTTATGGCAGCATTAATTAGTTTACTGCATCGCATGTATAGATGATAACATTTTACTCCTCAGCTAATTAGTCTACTCGCAGTTAAGTGCATGTGTAGTTGCAGCCTCTTTGAAGTAAAAGCTACAGCAAACAACTAAACAGATCTCTTAGCAATGCACTGCAAATTAAACAGGTTGTAGACCATCTGAATATGAGTGATCCAGGTTCTACTGCACATAATAATGTAGACAGGTAGGTAAGTACCATCAGCACCACCAAAAGTGTTAATTAGTTTTTGAAGGAAAGTAGTAATGACTTTTGCTTTGTGCTATGGTCATTGGTGTCTGCATGAATTAGGCATTGTCTGAAGGCTCCTCCCAAGAATGAGGCATGGAAGTCTAGCTTTTGAATCCCACAATATTCAATACTAGGTGGAAGACAGACTCTGACATAGACAGATCCACTAAGACAGTAGCACCTCTGGGTTTGTACAGTGACGGAAATTTAGGCACACAGGCTGACAGACGTGGAACCCCCCCCCCCGGAAAACAAACAAAAAAACCCAGCGCTTTACCAGAAGAGGAATTGTGTCAGTACTACCCAGCACCACAGCATCTCTATAGCTTGTGTGCTTCAGTGGGGCTTTTTAAATCAGCCCATTCAATCAATTAGTACATAAAAACGGCCAAAAGCCCCGCTGAAGCACGTGAGCTATACAGATACTGGGGAAGCCAGGTCAAACTGACGTGTTTCCTCTTCTGGGCATTCACTGTGCTTGGGAGGCACTGAAAGTAAAGCACTATTAGGTTTTTTTTTTCCACATCTGTAAGCATCCATACATGCTTTGTGAATCTGGCCTTTTACTCCAACACTGCACATGATGCATTTTAGCGATAGCCTATTGGTGAAACCTTAGTGTTCAAATATCCTGTGAAGGTTATTGCAAAGATGTCATTGTTCAGGACTGGTGGGGAAAAAGAGATAGCCCATACATAATGATAAACAAAAGCAATTAATTAATCCAGGTAACACATTCTCACAAGTCAATGAGAAGTCACTGGAGTGTACTATTAAATTAGAGAGTTGTTTGGTCATCAGTGCTTTATCTAATTTGGCCATTATTCAGTATTTACCTGTACTAGCTAGCATGATTCACCATAGAAGATATCTCTATTGCTATGAAAAAAAAATCCAAAATATTAGCTGGCAGTGCAAGTGCAGTATTGGGATGTGCTAGTGGAAACCTGTTGACATACTGCCAGTATGCTGTGGGGTCTGTGCTAGTTAACCTCAATGCAAGACTAATGCCTGTATTATCTGCTGGCTTTTGAGATAGCTCAGAAGACCCTTAGCTTCTGCAAGGCTCATGCTTCCTTCAGTTGCCAGAACCAGCTGCCAAAACAGCACAAACACCCAGTTTCTCTTGCTAATATAGCAGTGGTCGCTAAAATATATATTGGTACTAAACAAAGCAAATGGCATTTCATTTACAAGTAACATACTCTGTGCTTAGACACTGAGATATTTTAAGTCAATCATTTATAAGCATCTTCTGAAAATTTAGTCCGTTAACATGATTTTACCTGCATTAATCAGGTCAGGATCTACCTCATGTTCTAAAGGATAAGGACCCTAGGAATAAAACACAAATATCAGTAATACATAAAACTGCCTCTGAGGCTAAGCCCTTTATTCTTTATCAATTCTAGTGTTGTGACTTATTAGGGCCCTGCAATACATTCAAATTAAAGCTGGACAGAAATCAGCTATAGAGTTGTTACACATTTTCAAGCACTAAGTTTATAGCTGGCTCTTTTTAAGATGGATGTCATTTTTATGGTATGATAATTACTTTGTACCTACGGCTGGTCTACATTTATTGTGCAATTAACCAGTTATTATGTGATAATTACTTTGCATGTGGGGGGCCAGTCTAAATTTAGTGTATGGTTAACCAGTTAATTCCGTAACACATGCAATGTATAGCAGGAGTTTCAGTCATATTGGTCATTTCGATTTTTCTCTTCCTTGTTGACCACTTATTGCATATGCGCACTGAAATTTACAGTGGTCAGTGTAATAAGACTATATAGTAGACATGTGACTAAAGGCTTTCATAATGAATAAAGGATCATACATCATTTTCCTTGAACCTATATTTTTAAAGATATATCTAGACCTGGTTTAATATAGCTTTATAGTTTGAAAATTGGAATTTAAATTTTATTTAAAATTTATAATACCCGCCACTTAAAAACTATTTATGGAACTTTATGCAGAAAACTACTAAACATTTAGGCCTGATGTCGCACAGATCTTCATTTAAGTATATGCTTAATTTTAAGCACAGAAGTGGACCTTGCAACCTCAGTGGGACAACTTACATAATTCTTAAGTAAATGCTTAGTTTTCTGAAGCACAATGCTGGCACCATGCAATATGGAAACCCGTTGAGTTCAATTTGTAATACGTGTAACCAGTTTAGAGAAAATAAAGCCAATAATAAACCCTTTTAAGCACTGCAGTAAATCATCACCGGTGCTTTTCTACATTCTTACCAAACCCAGGACTCCATTTTCACTCTGCAGGTGAACAGTTATATCTGGACTGATGAAGTTGCTGGCCAACAAAGGAATTCCTATGCCCAGATTAGCTGAAGTGAGTTAGTTAAGGTACAATGAGAAACAGAATTACTGTAGAGTGATACATTAACAAAATTACATTTGTGTTTCCCTCTGCAAACTGTTTTGTTTTTCAAACACAGGCTTCAAAAGTTGACTAAATTACTTTATAATTTGGACTGCCTAACTGCCTTCTGTCAGGTACCATACAACACTTGAAGGCGGTTCAAATTATCAAGTCATTCAGTCATCTTTTAAGTCCAATTTGTAATATGTGTAACCATCTTAGAGAAAAATAAAGCCAATAATAAACCTGTTTAAGCATAACAGTTAATCATCACTCAGTCAAGCAAGTTCCATTTCAAACATATGGATCTTAACTTTTCTGAGAAACACTGATTAATTATTTGACTTCTCATTATTATGCTAGGTAAAGGAGGGAAAAGGCACCAGGTAACACAGAACTTAATATTATGTCTATTTCAACAGGCTGTTAATTAAAGTGACAGAACCACAGGTGTTGCAGAGGACAAATAATGGAGGTGGCAATTAATTTTTGCTAAGAGTAACAGATGCAACTGCCATTTCATCATAGAAAATGCTAGTTCTTTAACCTAAAACATAGTTGAAGGATACCATACATGCCATCCTCAAACTCTAAGGCGGCTCGCCTGATGATCCTCTCTCTTACGTTATCTCCTCCCTTCTTTTGTTTGCTTTTTGTATCTTCAGGCTTTCGGGTTGATAATCTCTACAAAATAAGAAATTATCATTAGAAAGCTATGGTATCAAGATACTTTGTCATAAAACTCTGGCTTGTGACTTCAAAGACAGATCTAACCCAGGAATAAAGGGATTAACCACACCTCTTGCACAAAATGACATTTTCTTCCATCAGTCCAGTTCCCACCTAACCCAACATGATCACTTATAGCGAGTCTTTCTCTACTTTATTAATTCTAAAAGGATATATGAAGGAGGCTATGGGAGAGAATGCATCAGGCTCAGAATACCAGTGCTGAATTTCAACATCATAATAATCCTGGTTTTCTGTGGACAGATGCATCAGCTTAACTTCCATGGGAGCTCAGCAACTATAGCTTCATTTTCACTTAGGTGCATAAATATACCAGTAGATCTAAGTGTTTAATTTTGGAAAATAAATTTAAAAAAATATTGTTCTAAGGAACAACTTCTACTCCATGCTCATTCACTTGTTACTCTGGTCTTCCATGGATTGGACTGAATTGCCAAGTGACTTCACATAAAAACTGAAGGTTTGTAGATCCAGGTCTAGGTTTTCAGAGTTTTGTGTACCTCTAAACTATTTTTTTGCTCAAACTTGTCTCAGAACGTGTGCGTGCTGGGATGCATGTGTGTAAATCAGGTGATTTCTAGGACACACACACACACACACACATACAGATACATAAGGCTTTGAAACTGCCAGCACATCCCCCAGACAGGTTTGGGCAAAAGCATGTGTTTAGGGCA